GGGAAGTGGGTACAGGAAGAGAAAGGATATGCATAGTTCAAGTTAAGGGAAATATAGTGAAAATAAAACTCAGGAAATGTGAAATGGCCTTTAGGGTATTGAGGGGTGAATGAGGCAGAAACTCACTGGAGGTGGGGCTATGGGGGGTGGACACAGAGGACTTTGTATGTCAGATTAAGGGGCTGCCCCAAAACTATACCCCAGGGAAAAGCCCTTTCAAGAATGCATGAATTAATTCCTTTTAAGTCTGAGGTTACGTTTTGTAAATGAATTTGGTGTCTTTAATTTTTTTAATATTAGGATCCAGTTGTATTAACAATTTATAATTTATATTGAAACCTTAGTGTCTAAATTACTTCCTTGGAACCAAAGGCACATCTTGCCAGAATCTGATTGAGACTATCATTGAGTGCTGCTTCCCACCGAAGTTCAGGGACACAGCTGCCATTTATGAAAACCAGAGCACGAGTCTGGAAAGAGAAAGAAATCTTCAGAAAAATCTGTCATTTCTGTGCTACCTCTCATAACCCCTTTGCTTCTGTACCAGTGACTTGTTCCACCTTCTACCCAATTATTCAAGCCATGCCTCTGGGGGTCAGCCTTGCAACCTGCCCCTGCATCACCCCCACACCCAGTTACCAAATCCTGGTGATTCTTTCCCCAACCTGTTTCTGCATGGACTCTGCCATGGGCCCTGCCTAAGCCCCCATCACCTCCTGTTGGAATTTCTGCAGAGTTTCTTCCCAGTTGATCCTTCGCAAAGCAGTCAGAGCATTCATTTTAAACAGAGAATCTGACGATGTCTTTCCCCTTGTGCAAGCCTTCAGTGGCTCTCAGGATTAATGCTACAATCTCCCACTCAGTGCACCAGGACTCACCACAACCTGGTCCCTTTTCTCTGGGCCCATTTTCTACTTATCCCTACTCAGGCCATGCTGGTCTTCTTAATTTCTAGCTTGGTTAAGTCCTACTCTCTCTCAGATCTCAGGTAAACCTCACTTCTTCAGAGACACCTGCCTGGACTCCCCAGCTAGGGTGTGTCTTGACTATTGGCACTTTTCACCTTTGCAATTAATGATGAATTGTGTGATTTAGCATCTAATGCTTGTTGCTCCTGATAGACTGAGTTCTCATCCGGGCCATGCCTGCCTTGCTTACTGCTGCACCCCACACCCCTGCCAACACACACACACATGTACACACACACACTGCTCTAGTGCCTGGTACCAGGGCACAGTAAGACTAATAGGTAAATGTCTGTCTGAACATAACAATGTACATATACCACACATGCTTCTCTGCTGCCTGAGGACCCCTCAGACAAATACAAAAGAATAAAACTTCCAATGTTGGAAATGCTTAAATATCAGTTCAAAGCCATCAATAGGTATGAATAACTATCATGTTGTACTACCATGACTATAACTGGTAATTGAATATAACAGGGAGATGATTATAAGGGTACCTTGATGGGTATTTGTACCTAGATAGGGTCCAGGGTTTGCCTAGAAAGTCAATTTAGTCTTCAGCCGGTGATGTTCAGATTTTGAGGCCTGGATCACACTAACTGGACTCACAGCTGACAGATATACATAATTCCAAGGCTGCACATAAATTTATGGTGTGTAATGTAGTTGTCAGGCACTGCTGTTGTCTACTCAGAAACACATTTCTCTGGTTGTAGAGTCTGCATGGGAAGTTGGATTGTGCTCCCAGGGTTGCAGGACATGGAACCAGGGTCAAGAGAGCTTTAGTCTAAATGTGTATATCATGCAATGATGGCTCTGAATGAACTCTGTGCAACAAAATAGAAATCAGCATGTTAAAAAATACTTCATATATTAATTATGTTTATCTATCCTCAAGTACTTTTTTTGTCTTTGTGTATTACTATAGCAACTTTGTGCTTCTTAACTCATTTGCTTTTTAATTTGTTAAATTGATTTCTGCATAGTTCCTGAAACAGCTTCAATTCTAATGGCAGAAATTGGACTCAATGGTGGCAATATAACATCCCAGAGTATCAAAGTTATGTTTTAACTAAGTAAAAGCCTCTCAAATATGAAATAAATAGGTTATTTTTAAGTGATGGAGGCATAGCTAATTAAGTAAACTAAGTATCACTAACTGAAAATGAATCAACATTTTAAAGAAAGCAAAATAACTTAAAAAGGAAACAAACTGTACCTGTGTGTGAACTAATAGGTAAAAAATAGTCTTTTTCACCCATGTTCATTGCAGCACTATTCACAATATCTAAAATACGTAATCAACCTAAGTGTCTACCAACAGACGAATAAAGAAAATGTGATACATACACACATAATGAAATACTATTCAGCCATAAAAAAGGATGAAATCCTGTCATGTGCAACAACATTGATGGAAGTGGATCATATTAGCTTAAATGAGGTAATCCAGGCACAGAAAGACAAATATCGCATGTTGTCACTCGTATGTGGAAGCCACAAAATTTGATCTTGTGAAAATAGAGAGTAGGATGATGGTTACCAGAGACTGGGAAGGGTAGTGGGGAGGGGACATGTAGAAGGGATGGCTAATGGATGCAAAAATAAAAGTAGTTTGAAGGAACAAGATCTAGTGTCCTGTAGCACAATAGGGTGACTGCAGTTAATAATAATTCATTGCATATTTCAGAATAACTAGAGTGAAGTTGGAATGTTCCAAACACAAAGAAGTGATAAATGTTTAAGGTGATGGATATCCCAGTTACTCCAATTTGATCATTACACATTGTATGCTTGTATCAAAATGTCATGTTTGCCATAAATGTGTGCAACTATTATGTTAAAAATAATAAAAAATTTTTTAAAAAGAAAAATATCCTCTTCAACCAGTTTTACAATAACCAATTTTCTTAAAGCCTGAGATAAAAAAATGAAATAAAATTCATTAAGACATTACCAGTCAAGTATGTCATACTTAATTGCTCAAAACTAAATTTAAAAAATTGTAATCTGAAAAATCTGTTAAAAATTCTAAAGCATTCATGAAAACTACAGATAGTTCTTTTATAAACAAAAATTTATCCTCAAACCCCAATTCATTCTCAAGAGATTAATGAAGGTTTAAATATGCATAAAAATTCTAAAACTTCACTATATACTTGGTATAAAATACATGGGAATCTTTGTGAAATGTTTATCTTTGACCTTGCTGAAGCTTGTGATTCCCTTTACAATACAGAATTGTGGAATCTAATTTTTACAAACCAAGTAAAAATACACTCTTCTAATTTTTTTGGGTGAAATTTCACCATAAGTAATTCTAGAGAAACATAGGCTTTTCTAAGAAAGGAACATGTAGTACTGCCTTTCAGTGTTTGTAAAAGGTTAAAATCCAGTACTACCTAAATTTCTTTTTATGGGTGTGCCTCCAGAATATCTTTTAAAAATATATTGCCAGAATATGTTATATGAAGTGTTAGAAATCTCCATACTTAATGTTTAGATAAATAGTCATTTTTGAAAAAATTTTTCTTCATTATAATGGACAGCTACTTGACCTTCTGTCTTCATTAAGTGGATGTTTGTTAAACCTCATTTTAATATTCATATACTTTCCTCTGAACTAACACAGTCTTGGTGTGGGTTTTGTGATACTGTCACTGAAGACTTTGAAGACTTCTATACTTTGCAAATTGCTGGCATTATTTTATTCCAAATATCAGAGGAAGTGAAGCCAAAGGCTAGATTCTGTAAAACTAGAACTCCTATATCTGTAGTCCATGGAATGATTTGGTCTACTTCTGCTTGCCACAGGACAATCCATATAAGAAACAGAGAGATGAATTAAGCATCCTTTAAAATAGACCTGGTCATCTAAATCATTTTCCAAAATGGTCTTCTAAAATCTGGGAAGGCCAGTACATTATTAATCAAATGTTTAGTTGATAGTATAGCAGGAGTGGAATGGGCTCAGTTGAATCTTGGCAGTATCTATAACAGGTGTGTCTATACTATAATTCTGATTTAATTGTGGCCACCTGATTTACTGAGTGCCAACTCTTCAGAGAGCAGAAGATGAACAGCTTCCACCGTCCCTGGGAAACACACATTTTTGTTAGGTCATCTATGAGGATGCAAAATGGGTACTAAAGGCTTTGGTCCTCCCTGCATTTCAGGGTCTTTACTAAGGAGTTCCCACTCCCCCAACCAAGTGCTCCTCAAGAAAACTTATTTTCTCCCCTTCTGAGCATCCCCACTATCTCCTGTCTTCTACCTCAGCCACCTCTATTCCAACTTCTCTAAACATTGAGGTAAAAGTCTTGAAGCCAAATCACTAGATCTTTACCTGGAAGAATGTGGAGCCTCCACTGCTTCCCAAGAGAATCACAGATACGGCCTTAGGATGCAAAGACCTTAATTTATTTGGTTGGTTGGTGTTGATTGGAGGAGAGAGGTGGAAAGAAGCCAGAAGGGGCTGTTGTCCTAGTAATCAGCTATCTTAAGCATCCAACTGGAGACTGACTACTGGATTTTACTTCCAAGATTAGGAAGGGAGTCCCAGGGGCACAATGAGGCCAGATACAGTGCCTGGTCACCAGTGCTGTGAGTGTTTCTGTGGTGGAGTGACAGAATCATGGGGGCCCAGGTACTGGCCCACCTGCCACTATATCATTTTCTGCCAGTATCTGGCTTTATGTAGTTGGTTAGAGGTAGTGAGGGAGTTAAGCTGTGCCTGATGGTCTATGTTGCTTGTTTAAAATAATTGACTAATTAAAGCTAAGAAAACTGAAAAAATAATAGGAGGATATTCTGGAGATCAAATAGGATTAGTTAAATTTAAAGGTGGGACCATTATATTGCCAATAACAGTAATGAAATCTCTTGTATTCACAGTGGATTGAACGTTTCCACCTGAACTGCTACTTTCTGATTGGGAGGGGTAGGTAGTTAAGACTGTAGCAGTTGCACATGTTGTCACATGTCTTTCCTTCTGCCAGGAAGTCATTGTTTCTCTCTTCCTTCTCTCACCAGGTGTTGGACTGGATTGAAAACCATGGAGAGGCCTTTCTCAGCAAACACACTGGGGTTGGGAAGTCCCTACATCGAGCCCGGGCCCTGCAGAAGAGGCACGATGACTTTGAAGAGGTGGCTCAGGTGAGATGCCATGTATGGGGCTGCGCGTATAGCCAAGTGAGGAAGATCAGGGCTGTGGCTTTGGTGTTTGGTGGGACATGCTGGGTTGACAGCCTGTGGCTTGCTGGGCTGCCTGATACAAAGAGACCTTTGTCTTGTCTTGGATCACTAGGTGAGTGGTAAATAGACCCCTAAGTTTCTGGTCTTCAAAGAAAATATTCCTGCTAACGTGATCCAAAATGCCTTGTCCACAAGGTGGTGCTGGAGGGAGGATTATTAGATCTACATTAACCCAGGGCTGCTGCTTATGGTTGTCACTGCCTGTGAGAAGGAGTTGAAAATCAGCAAAACTGTGTACCTTCAGGGCCTAGAGAAAGAGATGGCACCTGTTCATCAGCTATGCATCCACAAGGCTGAATGTGCCTTGCTGTCACTTGTATAATATTTAGTCTGCCATTTATACAATATTTAGTTGTTTTAATGAGCTACGCACCTGATCCAAAAAGGGCACTGTTTTCTAAGTTGCACAAAGATGCTGCATGAGAGGTCCTGACCATTTATCTAATAGTGTAACCATCTAAAAGTGTTTCTGTTCAGAGCCTTCACCTCAAAAATTTTATCCTATTTCTGTTATATTTCTCTATTGGGGAGATTTTCAAATGGGTCCTGAAAATCTTCACCTTGAAGATGAAATGCTGCCATCCAGTTATTTTATCAGATGTGCAGTTGCAGTGGAAGATAAAACTGTGAAGAATAAGGCAGGGGAGGGTGTCCATATGGGTCTGAGGGGTGGGCGAGGATAAAAAAGCTAGATTTTGCCACATCGCAGCTTTAGGTGGGCTGGCTCCCATCCCACCATGCTGGCAGCCCTCAATGTGGGTGCCACCCTGGGCATTCTGCAGAGCCCGGCCCCCACCCAGGCAGGTGCTTGCTGTGGGTATACAAAGAGAGGGCCTGTGAAGAACCAAGCAAGAACAGGGAGACCGTGGAATATTGCTGCATCTCTAGGGGAGCTGCAAGTACATCCTGAAAAGTGAAAGGCCTTGCAGGAGGCAGAAAGACTATGTCAGTGGTGACCTGAATCCAGGGAATGTGGGTAGATTGGATCCAACCTGTGGGATAAAGAAAGCCTCATATGGAACCCTTGTTCACTGTTGATAGGAATGTAAAATGGTGCAACCACTATGGAAAACAGTACAGAGGGTCCTCAAAAATTTTAAAATAGAATTGCCATAAGATCCAGCAATACCACTTCAGGTTATAGTCCCCAAAGAATTGAAAGCAGGGACTCAAACAGATATATTTGTACACTCATGTTCATAATAGTCAAAAGGTGAAAGTAACCTCAGTGTCCATTGACAGATGCATGGATAAACAAAATGTGGTATATTCATGCAATATTATTTAGCCTTAAAAAAGGAGGAGATTCTAGTATATGCTACAACATAGATGAAACTTGAAGGCATTATGTTAAGCAAAATAAGCCATTCATAAAAGAACAAATATCATATTATATGATTCCACTTATATCTAGAGTACCTGGAGTATCCAAGTTCATAGAGACAGAAAATAGAATGGCAATTGTCAGGGGCTGGAAGGAGGAGGGAATGGGGAGTTATTGTTTAATGGGTATATAGTTTCAGTTTTGCAAGATGAAGAGTTTTAGAGATGGATGGTGGTGTAATGATCTAAAAGTGTTCCTGTGTTCAGTGTTGCACAACACTGTGGATGTACATAATGCCACTAAACTGCACACTTAAAAATGGTTAAAGTGGTAAGTTTTGTGCTGTATATATTTTACCACAATAAAAAGAAAATAAAGCCTCACAGTCACATGAGGACCTTCTGGAGAATGAGCTGGACTTTACTAAAATAATATAGACACAGGTCCCTATATGTCTTCTGATGGACAAGATGTAGCACAGTACCAAAATGTCTGGGTGGCCACGCATCCTGGAACCTCTCCAGTCTGTTAGGGGGCAAAGGACTGTGGAGGGTCACATGCATCCCCTGACTGCTTAGAGTGGGGGTTGTGTTCTGTTGAAGTAGAGACATCCTACAGCTTTGTCGTGTCTGCCTCTGGGTTGTCCTTTAGCTCAGCCCCTCCTTACTTAGGACAGACATCCCAAAGCCACCCACAGCCTTGACTCAGCTCACTCCTCCTTGTTGTCTGCCTGATGTGGCCTCGTAAGCAATGCTATCCTTAGTTGTAGGCTAGAGTTTTTGTGTTGCTACAACAAGCAAGCTGCATAGCCATCCTAACCCTATTTCTCCTGACTGCTCCTCCACCTTCTTGCCAATGTCTGATATCTCTTTCACATGGGACAGTGTGACAATGATTTTCCATCAGCCGCGGGGACACACTAACTTAAATTAATACTAAAGAAAGAATGGACACATATTTGAGAGTTTATGGTTCCATTACATATTTTCTCTCATACCAACCCTGAATGGTAGGTAGTATTAGCCTTTTTTGTATGGAAGACAACACTGAGGCTCAGATTCTTCATTGTGCCCAAGTCATCCAGCTTGCAGTGGCTCTGCTGGGATTCAAACCCAGGTACGTCAGACTCCAGAGTCATGTTTTTATCCTAAGTCCATGCTGTCCCTCCTATTGGGGTACAGGAATTGAGTATAAAATTTATTTCTGAGTGCCCATTTGCTTATGGAAAGTGCAGGACAAAGAGCAAGAATGGGGGAGTGGCACTGCCACTGCAGCTGTCCTATTTCACATCCATTACAGCTTTTCTCTGGCCCTGCCCAGGAGTAATCCATATAATCCACATCTCCCAACTCTGCGTTCTGATAAGACTGTATCTTTTTGAGAAAGGAGAAAGAGTTCTGACATCCAGAAGGCTCATGAGTTTAAGAAGAATGATTGCTCTGGAAAGGAGAACAGCAGATGTGGACTACAAGGGAACACTTAAGCTAGGGGTCCTGAGCCACCGCCTGGCCCTGTAAATCCATCTCTAGGCCTCTAGAGATAGATCCTATACTCTGAAAGTTAATCCTGTCTCATTCCCTCCTCACCACTCTGCAGAAGGGTGTGGAAAGTAGAGCTGCGCAGTGTCTAGGATTTGTTAGTCCACCTAGGAAAACTGACTCTGACCACAGTGAAGGCGAATTGACTATCGGTGGCAGCCTGCCCAAGACCTGCTTTGTTCTGCACAATGTGATTGCCACATTCAGGTGGTGAGAACTGGGAGATCCAGGCAGGAAAGGGCCCTTCTTTCTCTCTTGCTTGTTCTCAATTAGGTGAGGGCCACTGGGAGAAGAAGAGTGGATTTAATCCAGAATCAGAAAATTCTTGAGTTAGAAGAACAATGACAGAAAGCTTGGAAACTCTTCTTCCTTATTTGTTGTTTGGGGTTGCTGTTTGTGAGATATGATCAGGAAAGGTGCCACAGGTGTTGTGGAGTAGGAGGCTGGGATGTCACTTACAAGCAGTGCTCCAGACAGCCATAATTCAGTGACAGAACCCCTTTCAACCTTATCATTTTATAGTTTTTTCACCTGAGGCTGACATGAGATGGGAATTCTGAGCACCTATTCTCTGTATTCAGGTTCAAAAAATCATCTTGAATCAAAGCAAAATGAGAGCTCTAAGGTGTGTTACAGCTCCTGGAATTTGCTCTTCCATAGGGAAGAGTGCCCTGGAGCAGAGAAGACAGCTGCCCATGGGGAGAGGCCAAGGCAGTGTAAAGCCCCTGGACAAATGCCACTCCACTCTTGGGATCTGGGTAGGGGGTCAGGGGTACATGTGATTCTCACCATTGGTCATTCTTCGGGGTAAAGACATTAAGGCAACTATTAAAATAGCATAAATGGTATCTGTGAAAAATTAATGTAGCAATCTGTCATTAAACTTTAAGTTTTGTGTTTAATAGCTCTTGAACAAATTTTAAACAAATTTTTCAAATATCATTTGAAGGAGATGAAATAAGTATTTGAGTCCTCCATTCATCCTGCAGATGGCACTCTTTGGATAGCCAGCATAGAAGCAGAGCTGATGGGGAAATTCACCACAGTCATGACAGTTTCCCTGGCGAGGTACTGGACACTCAGGGGTGAGGGTCCAGGGCAGAGGATACACTAGGGAGTCTGTGTCTAAAGTTCTTTCTAGTCTAAGCTACTGAGGTTGCGCATGCTCGCATAGAAGACCTGGACACTGATGGAAATCCTTCTTGGTCCTTAAGTCAAATACTTGATGCAGGTTGCCTATAATGTCACCAAATGACTCAAGCCATAGGGTATAACAGGTTTTAAGTGACACTTATACTTTTTGTGGCCATTAGATGTCATTAGGAGTATAAACAAGTATTAGATGGAGTTGCTGCCCATAACAGCATAGCTGACAGGGGATAGATGTATCCATACCTGCCAGGTGGTGGAATAGGACATAGCACTGTTCTATTGTCCTGGGATATTTGCTATTACTTGGTAGGAGAGTATGCAAGTGCCTGTGGTTTGGATAGCAGCTGTGCCTGCTCTGTTAGTGATCTCCTTCATGGCCTCATCATCTGAAATGCCAGATTTTCTGTAAGCTAATTTAGTCAAAAATTAGCAAGCATTTACATTCAAATATATATTATCTAAAGTCTCAAAGCACCAAATCACATTTAAGCAGCTAAGCATATTAAGTGCATTAGTGTAACATTTTTGGAAAAAAAAAACAGACAATTTAAAGAAAAACTTAAACATAAAAACATAGGCACAATTAAGTACTTCAATAATCTCTGGTTAGTTGTTTCTATAACTGACCCTTGGGTTTTTTTTCTCAAATTTGACAAGAACACACTTTTTAAAAAATCATTCTGAGTCTCAGGGTCAAAATAGGTGAAAATAGAGGGAAAGCATTTGGTGGATCTATCAGTCACAGTGATCTTGCCCACCAACAATATGCAAGCAGTCAGTAAACCTGCCACAATACCGTGTTTCCCGGAAAATAAGACCTACTCATAAAATAAGCCCTAGCAGGATTTCTAAGCATTTGCACAATATAAGCCCTACCCCAAAAATAA